GGTAGACTGTGTGCTCGTTTGTCACCTTATCCTATAAAAAAAAATTAAATATACGTAGTTTTTGACAGTTATTTATATATAATCGTATATATACTAGTCTATTCAATTTAAAGGCGTTTTATCTTAAAACATGCTTCTTCTTGGACATAAAGTGGCGAACTATGAGTGGGATAACTCAGACAGGCTATGTGCCAAGACTGGACATTATCTATGTAGTGCGAGTGTTTACTACATTCACCTCTTTTGTTGGCTTTGTAATAAGTCAGTTAATATTTTCCCTTGTATTACATATTATGTAATAACTTTTTCCACATTTCTCTCGAATGAGATACATACTTGAAAAAAAATAACGTCTTAGACTACCCTAAATATGCAGATTTAGATAGGAATGTAATACCAAAATGCGTAAAGATCAAACCTTGTAAGAGATGCAGATACTTTGTGGCATTACTTGGGTGAGGCCGATGTTTAGCAGTGAATTTTGCAGGGCTATAATCATAATGATGATGATAAACATCGATTGTATAGTATTATTTCGTCGATTATATTATTTTTATCTACTAATTTATCTTCTATTCATCTAGCACGACCAATATGAAAAATTTGAAAATGTTATATATTTAAAAAAAATCTTGCGTGCTAATTTTCTCCTTCGCTATTACAGCCTATCAAATTCTACTAGAACATAGGCTTCCCCATAGATCCCATAGGCCATCCCCTGCCTCGAGGCAGGCGGATTGGCAACCACGTTATTTTCATATTTTTTAGGTTTTATTAGACAGACCATTTCTTATTCGACCCTCTTTCGCCTCTCATGACACCTACGAGAAGATATGAGTTGATGAATATTCTTGCAAAGCCAATACACGGTAAATATTTATCTGCTTAATCAAGTCAAATCCAATATTTTTGGTCATTGTTTAATTTACATTTTACTTAATAAATATTCACTTCTACTTCATAATTATAGATCGAGTCGTGGTAGTTTAGGGGCTAAGCGCTTGTTGTAAATTTCACAGTACGCGAGCAACCCGGGTTCAATCCCCGCCGGCACAAATGAAATTGTTAATTGAAAGTTCAAGTGCTGATTTACTAATTGCTTGGCGATGAAGGAAAACATCGCGAGGAAGCCTCCATGTCTAAGGAATACAAAATATTTCAAAGACATGTGAAGTTCGCCAACACGTATTGGGGCAGCGCGGTGGACATTTCATTCCCCTAAAACCCTCTCAGAGATGATAGGAGGCCTGTGACCTGCAGTGAGACATATATAGTCTGTAACTTTTATAACTTTAAAATCATCATCATTATCATCAAAAACAAGAAAGGTTCGTTGTTTCAATTTAATGACAAAAATTAATATGAACTATTTAAATTGTAGGATATACATTCGTTATATTCCCACTGAGATTCAACCAATATACAGCTAAGAGTGGCGCTTGGTAATAACTTAATACGTTCCAGTTTACACCTCCATCTATTACCACCCAAAACCTAGAAACTAGGGATGTCTGGCGGCTTACCAATGTACTTGCTTAATGTGTTAAGTACACGTAATTTCTTCAAGAGAAGCATAATTTGGCACCTTTTCTTGATAGACATAAAAGAGGATTCTCAATGTTTATTTAAAACAAGAAGGGCAAGATTTTAATTTATAAGTTAAATACATTATGGCAAAAGAAAATGTAACATAAACGATAAAGTTTTCGGGATAACTTCGTCATATTTTTGAAAGGAAGAAATTATCTTTTTTTTAAATATCTGTCAGAAGGAATGAATGAAATATAACAAGAAAATATTTATTGGTGTCGTATTAATCATTAAGGAAAATGCTCAAATTTTAAAACGGTAAAATTTAATCGTTGGATGCTATCTGTAACCAATACTTGTATTAGACTCGCTGATGCGATTTTTTTTGTAGTTCAAATAGTGACTAATATATATTCAATATGATTCGTCACCTGTTGATTACGTAAATGTGTGATATAGCTTATCGTATGAGTCACAAACCAATCAAAAATGAAATATATAAGTTAACAAATAATAGATCTCGTTTATTTGGTTTTTACGAGGTCATCTGCAAAATACTGTAATCATAGGTTAGTCATATAAAAGTTCTTGTTAGTTATCTATGCAACAGCAGTCAGTGATTTAAAATTAAGGCTCGGCGAAAACGAGCCACCTTTTAGAGCCATAGTGGCCACCGGTCTATGGTGACCGTGACAATTGGCCGGTAGCTTCCACAATTTATAACTTTGTTAACACTGTGTGTGCAGTGCAGTGCAGTCTCACGATGGATTTAGAAAGTAATCAAATCAAACGTGTTTGTTGTGCAACATGAATCACAAAATATGTTAGTACTTATTACATATTATATCACTATGTTCAGTTTAGTACGTATTGATCGGCGTATTTAAAAAAGTCTATTTATTTTTGTTTTGTATAAAAAGTGAAGTAACAGTCGCCTAATCGTGGGGTGCAACTGCACACTCAGAGTTGTTTTTAATTCCCGTCTTTGGGGGGGGGGGGGGGGACGGGACTCCCGTGACCATAAATTAAACAAGATAATTTAAATGCGAGCATTCACGTAAATATAAGAAAAAATTATAATATCCCTGAGGACTAAAATGCCTCGTTACTAGTAAAAAGGGTTTGTGATTAAACGAACACAAAACTAAAGTAAAAAAGTTTACAGCTTAATTGGACTTCGAAGTTTAATCCAAAGTAGTTTCGGATCAAAATATCTTAATAAGTCATTTCAATTTATAAGCCTACGAGCAAACTTTGTCGAAAATTGGGTTCCATTCACAAAGTTAAATGTTTCACTTAAGCAAGCCAATTACTGATCTTATTTCATTTGCACAAGACAGATATAAAGTGTAAAATCGAGAACGGTGTAAATTTTTCATACAATGACTTAAGTTTTGAGTGACCCCAGGGAGTTGGTGATAGTGAGTGAATTAGTTTAGATAAAGTAAGTGTTTGCATGGAATGTATGGATTTCAAACAAAGTTCAGCGGGTAGTTGAACAGTATTGGTTCTTGGCCGCTTCCCTTTTACCTAATAAACAAACATTGAATGTTTTAGTTGTAATTAAATGATATTAATTTTATTCTTTACCAACAACCGATGTGGAAAATAGGTTCTCGGTAGTCTGGTAATGAAAAGCGCAGTGTTAGGTAATCCTCCACTAGATGGAGTGGCTAGAATGGCCGGTGGCATCCACTGGCTACAGTAGTAGTAGTCTATGACATGCCACTCGTGGCCACCCCGGGCCACTCGAAACGCCGACATTTGCCATCGACGTACTGTTTTACTGTAGTTAAATTTGGGTGTTACCAATATAGGTTACGTCGTCAACTTCTTTCAGTTTCGAATTCATCTTCGTCTTTAATTGACTAAAATGAAATCTAATAATAATCTTCTTATCCTCCAGCTAACCAACCTATGTATGCTTGGGAATAAATAATAAGTTTAACAAGTTTTATTTAACTTAAAACAAAACGCGATAAAAACCGTAAAATTAGTTTTATGCATTTTGTTTTATTAAGGATTGATATTAGTGACTATTAATCACAACATCCATTCAACATTAGGTCGACTTTGTGCTCGTATTTCACACTTGCTTATAAAAAAAGAATAAAGGTATGCTTGAGCGCCACTATTTTAAGATCGTTTTTATTTATTTTAATGGAAATAAAAAAAAACGTGGACACTAACAGTAAGATCACTAAAAGCTCAAAGACGCTCAGCGACGACAAGAGCTATTCGCGTAGTTTCTGTATAAGATTTGAAATGAAGAAATACGCCGGAAAGCCAAGGTCATCAACATAACCTTAACTGAAGTGGCAATGGACAGGTCACATCTGTTGACCAAACTTGCTCATGGGGGATGTTTCCCATAAGTGCCACGCCTGGCAAGCGGGTTGGCAAACGCAGTGTTTTATTGTAATTTTGCTGTTATCAAAAAGATAGATAAATAGATTATCAGAAAGCTGCTTAGCCTTGTCGCCTGTTACGGCACCCACGGGAAGATATGGCGTAGTAGATATTCTTACACCGCCACTAAGCTGTGACCGAACATAGATAAGCGGAATGTAGGAAGCGTCCCCTGGTCAGATGAATCGACGATCTATGCAAGACAGCTGGCGGAAATTGTATGCTTGAAGCTGAATATATACGTCTGTAAAACATAAAATTTAAATATTAGCAACTTTTTATCTAATTATTTTTATTTTTATTTATATGTCATTGATTTATTATGTATCTTTTTTTTAATTTGGAAATAAATAAATATTAAAATAATTAAAAGTGTGTGTGTGTGTGTGTTTGTGTGTGTGTGTGTGTGTGTGTGTGTGTGTGTGTGTGTGTGTGTGTGTGTGCGTGTGTGTGTGTGTGTGTACGCGTGCGTGTTGAGTCCTTAGCAACAGGGTCGTTATATAATTTACTTACTGACCTTCAACTTGTAGGTCTGATGAAACTGTTGCAAAAGAGTACATGAAATTAAATATTACTCTATTTTTAATATAACATTTTACAGTTTAAATTAAAAACTCATTAAACTCATTTCCATTTACAAATCAAGTTTGTTAATGTTTCATATTACAATTATGTCATTAATTTTAGTTTTATTGATCGTTATAGCTGCAATCAAATGTGCTTATGCAGGTAACAAACCAACACAACATGTATTGCTTCGTGTGCTGTCGGTACTTTCTTTCAATTTCTAATATTCATATCTGATTCATGTTTGTAGTGAATAATTTTGAACAAATGACCAGTGATTGAATTTTTTTTTTCTGATGTAGTTTCAAACGCTCTCTCTAAATTGAAACGGGATTCAGCAGGAACTAATATGAATAAACTGCCAAAAACGTTATCAATACAATAGATCGATAAAACGTGATTAGATAATTCTTTATTGAAAAACGAACGATTGTGTGTCAGTTACTCAGTAATATTCCGTTTTCTGGTGTCAATGTACACTCGCAGCAAATATAATGGCGCCTTGGATCGACCTGCCGTATGAGATTAGAGACGTCACCCCTGAAGAAGACAAGATAATCAAGAAATGTCTTATTGGTGCGTTATCAGTGTTACTTACTATGTGTCTCAGTGTTGTTTATTTGTGTGAGTTAATGTATAATTGATTTAATGCGGTCTTGCCAAGGTATGTCTTCGTATATTCGTTAGACTTCTAGCTGCACATTCAATATCACTTTTTCACGAATACGTTTTAAATCACATAATTGGTTAATTGGTATGATAAGTAAAAATTCTTTAAATAAATAAACAGAAAGGAGACATAAGTTACATTCGCACCGAACAATTAAATATGTCATCAATATTTTAAATATTAATGTGTATTTCTTTTTCAACATTCAATACTTCTTTGTGGATTAGAAATGACAATCGTGAAAATATAATATTTCTAAAAGCAGTATTTTCCGCAGAAATCAGGTCAAAAGATAATATGAGCCCTTAGAATAGTAGTCTAATAGTCCCTTAGAATGTCTGGTTTGGTACCTATTACTGTCACCAAGCAGCTATGAAGATGTGCTTGCAACTGCCAGTTCCGCGTTAAAAGTAACAACAGAAAAAAGTTATAAACGCAACCGCATTTTTGTATGAAATAGTTGAATTTACAAAATCGAAACTGAATAATTATTTTTCATAAACGTGATCCTCTGATTTTGTATCAAAGGTATTCTATAGTCAAAAATCTACAGAGTCACGGTTCGCACAACAATGATATTAATTTGTAATTAGACGGATTAAAAAAAACAATTAGTTGACATAGGATCTTTAGGCAATTTATATGGCACCATTGTAAAAAAATATTTCACGGGTAAACAAACTATATATTTTAAAGGTGTAGTGGTGGTGTAAGAACATCCACTATCCTATATTGTCCCGTGGTTGTCGTAAGAGACGACTAAGCGAAACGAACCAGGAGATAGGCAGCAGGGTCTTCCTTAAAACGCCGTAAAAATGAAAAACTGCTATTGCCAGCCTCACCCCACCTGCAAAGCGAGGCAACTATAGCAAACATCCCCTCTGTATGACATGGGGGGAATATGGGGGAGACCTATGCTCAGCGGATTTTTGATAGGAAGTTATAATAAGCAGGAGCAAAATTAATGCTGTATTCCAGTTTGAAGGGAACTGCCCAAGCAGCATGCAATCTGTATTCGAGATATATTAAAGTTCGTTTTTATACTAGCTAGTTTTTCCTGGCTGTATAAAAGCTGTATAAGCGCTTATACAGTTCTTATAATATATAAAAAATTGGCACAAATTATGCAGCTTTATGCGTTAGTAGCGCTGTACAGTAGCTGTACAAGCATAAAAGAGTATGTATAAATGCTGTATTACAGCTGTTATTTGGGGTACAAGGAAACTATTGCACTACAGATATTGTCTTATAAGTAACTTTTAAAGACAAATGTTCTAAATTGGTGTTTGAACGGAGTTACAAATGAATATTATAAAAGAAAAAGAACTTTAATTGAATGATGGCGACATATAATCTCTTACCATATATTTAACATATTAATTTTATATTCGGATTAAAGTTAAGTTTTGCGGGTGATAATGAACTGAAAGTGCAAAATTAGATTTGTCGTAAACTTATATAAATTATAACCTGTACGGTTATAATAAAAAGAAATTAATGGATATGAAGGCACATTGGGGCACAATCATCTTTAGTCAAACTGAAAGTAATGGTAAAGGCTTAGACTAATATGTCTAATATTCCCAAAATTATATTTTAAATTTTGTTTTTATGGCTCTTAAAATGGCGCCAATTTGCTAAACATCCAAACGGTATTTCGAGGGTCTTATAGTCTTAGTAGCTGTACTATGTATGTTATGGATTATATCAGGTAGCCATTGGTTTTAATAAGTTCTATAATAGGATATTATTATTACTTACGCTGTATAGCAGGTTTTCAACATACCATATAATTCTCTTTGGAGATACGTATCAAAAATCAAAATTCTTGTCTTTGTGTTGGATAAATTTAATTTGGACTTAACATGACCTTTTAACTGCACCAAATCTTTTTCTTTTTTGCCACATCTTGATAACAAATTACTTTTGTTTACTACCAAAATATAAACACAAGAGGCATGCAAAATGGTGATATTCTGTCACTTACACAGATTTAAGTTGTACTATGGCTGTTATTTATTTTTTTAGTTTTATACCACTCTCATAGACAGAAGTCATAAAATTACAGTATTTACAAAAGTGTACAATGATGCCATAAGAATAAGTTTTAGAAGAGAGTTTGCATACACCATCGTTCAGAAATAAGAGTTTATTGATACTATAATAGCACTTAAGCTGTATAAACAAGGGGCAGTATGCAAAAAAACAGCTTCTATACGACTTAAGTGATAAAATCAGATTGAAGTGTTACAAAATACTTAAAGTTGTATAGTAGAGTTTTCATATTCTGATTAAGAACCCTAAGCTTACTTAGATCCCATAATACAAACTTTATATAGCTTGAGCTGTATAATAACTCATAAACCACTCTTATAAGGATACAACGTCTTTTCAATATTCTTATACGCTTTTAAAAGAATTCGAAGTTCTATGGTGGTAAAATGATGTTCCTAACGCTTATGTGCTGCTTAGGTGGTATACTCGTAGTTACAGGAGTGACTCTGTTTTATATAGCCTTATCTGTTCGGAATTACTTGCAGTTGTCAATGGGGTGCAGCAGCTAATTACCATCTTTAAACTCTAAGTCACTCAAAACATATTTACTGTATAAAAATATATCTCAATATATAAAAATCAATTGCTGTCTGTTAGTCTCGCGAAAACTTAAAAACTTCTGAAACGATTCCGATGTTTTTTTGTGTGCGTATGAGTAGATCCCTGGATGGTTTATATTCACAAATAGTGACGCTGTTATCGAGATACAGTAATCACTTGTGCGAAGCCGGGGTGGATCGCTAGTATTATATATAGCTGAACCGTTTATACAGAAAGGGAGATAGAAATACGTTAAGATAGCATAATATTATGTCCTATTTTATTTTATACTAAATGGTACGGCAGAAGTTGATCGACCGTTTTAGTAGGTTGCATAACTCAACCAAAGCGTATATTATGTTAATAACTTGTCCACAATGATTCGAAATCAGACCTGACATCGTCTCGACAATAAACATATTATGAGTACAATCTCAATCGGTTAATTCATTCAGAAGTTGCACGATCACGAACAAACACACCAGCTTACATAAAGATTGTAGTAATATAAAAAGTACTTTGATGAACTAAATGTACGACAAATTAAAATATATATTATTTTATAATGATTTCTTATATTTTCGCGAACACTACACATTGAATACAACTAATTATACGGATTCTATCGCGTTTAATTAACTCATTTTTATTAATTCCCGACGTTTCCAGACGTTCGACCCCGTGACCATGGGTTCTGTAAAGCACCCGAAACGTCGGTAATTAATAAAAATAAGTTTTATTAAAAGTGTTAGAATCCGTAAAAGTAGTTTTATTCAATATATTTTTTATTAAACTCAATTGATAAACAAACCTGCAGTCCAACAGTAGGTAAGTACTTGCAGCCATCTTGAAGGCTACATGCGGATAGGATGTGTTAACACTTTTTTAATTTTTTTTATAGGATAGGGTGACAAAAGAGCACACAGTCCACCTGATGGTAAGTGGTTACTGTGACCAATAGACATCTATATCTATCCTCAATAAAGACTCAAGATGCAGTTGCGTTGTCACTCGTGAGCACTAAGATGGAATGCCTCAGTGCCAGTAAAAAGGGTCTCCGGTTCTATTCACTCACCATACGAAACACAGCAGCATTAAGCTGCTATATTACGCTGGTTTTCTGTGAGAGCATGGTCCTTCCCCGGTCGAGCCGACCCATTCGTGCTACAACTATACTACTAATATAGCTGCAGCATGGCTCTACCACGTTACAAAAGGATGATCTGAGCATTAAGATGGAATGCCTCAAAGCCTATAATTATATCTGTTCTGATAAAATTTTAGGCTGTAACTGTGGTTTTTTATACGCTTTAGACCGGAACACAGAATTTGGCGGCAATAATAGGCAAGAAATTGGTAAGTATCATATGGATACAATATATATCGATACTTTTTGGCACTTCTGAGTTCCATATTATAAAAAAAAACCGGATAAGTACGAGTCGGATTCGCGCACCGAGGGTTCCGAACAAATCAGTAGGTATATATGTTAACATCATATATAAATATTTTTATAATATGATGTTACTAAAAATTTATGCTTTTCGCAATTTTTCCTTTATCTGTGCTATAATACGTTGCTTCGTACCAAATTTTAAGATTCTGAGTTCACGGGATGTACCCTGTAAGTTTTGATTACCTTGCGAATGTAGAAAATTTGCGGCATAAACGGCTGTATCTTTTGATTGCGTTGGCTTAGAAGTTTGATTTTTTCACAACTCCAAGGGACAGTAGACTTGAGTATTTGATATGAATTTCTGCTTGATACCTCCACGCGTTCCTGAGAAAAAGGGTCTTGACAGACAGACAGACAGACGGACAACAAAGTGATCCTATAAGGTGCCGTTTTTCCTTTTGAGGTACGGAACCCTGATTATACGCAAAAGGTCACAAATTAGCAAAAATAATAAATTTGCTACATTGTAGCAATTGTAGCGGCATTGTATCGTCGAAGAAATACAAATATGTATTTCTTCGACGATACAATGCCGCTATCAGTTACAAAATGATGTTTATCAGTAAAGTTATGGCATAATACCAGTAAGCATAATCATAAAGATATCAGTAGAGATACTGTGAACTTTAAGCGCAGAGATATTGCAATCTATGAACGGCCTTGGACTAAATCCACAGGTAATAAAACATAAAAAATCTGCATATCATCGAAGACGTTATATTAAATATTTTCATCAACTTACGGTACTTTTGGTATGTGGTAGAGCCATGCTGCAGCTATATTAGTAGTATAGTTGTAGTACGAATGAGTCGGCTTAACCGGGGAAAGACCACGCTCTCACAGAAAATCAGCGTAAAATAGCAGCTTAACGCTGCTGTGTTTCGTATGGTGTGTGTAGAGAACCGGAGACCCTTTTTACTGGCAAAGAGGCATTCCATCTTAGTCCTCACGGGTGGCAATGCATCTGCATCTTCAGTCTTTATTGAGGAAAGATGTAGATGTCTATGGGTCACAGTAACCACTTACCATCAGGTGGACTGTGTGCTCGTTTGAAAAAATGTTCTTTCTTTTGCTAAATATTCACATTAAACATAAGATAATTATTACTTTAAGATTTGATGACTTGCCGTATAATGACGGCATAATCCACTAACCGATATCCTGTGGGTGTCGTAAGTGACGACAGAGGGAAATGAAACATTAGATGGGCAGCAGCATTTTCCTGATAACAACTCAAAATAATAAAAAAAGCCAAGCTGGGCAACTATAGGCTGTCTACATTGGAGACCTTTAGCAGTGGACTTTTGATAGGCTGTAATATAGGTTCGATGCAAACAAAAAATGTATTTCTTCCGGTCGCTTGCACTCTTGATTACGATACTCAATACCACTCTAACAAAACACGTGTGTCGTATTATCTGTATGATTTCTATTTCTTAGCGTTTAAATTAGAATGTAAATTTCACTATCTTTTCTCATCTCATAGGGTTTACGTTTTTTCTAACAACAAAATCTGTATTCCTTCTCATTAACTGGATTCTATGGTAACTTCTTCGCAGTTCATGCTACACTCCTTATGAACTTCTTAACCGCGATGATATCAGGAAAGCATCCCCTAAGTTGGTTCTAAAAACCTATTAAAAACAACGCTTGTCACATCATGAGTCATTAAATTTTATCATATGTGATCGACTTTCAAATTTGCACTCTTATCAGGAATTAATCACAATACAATAATTTAAATCCTAATATCCATATCATCAGGATATCCAGGATAAAATAAAATAGTTATCAGTATCATGAAGAGCGCTGACTTCTATATACAAGCCCTGCCTAGTTTAGAAGTCGGAGGTTCTAATATAATCTTAGATGTGATATTTAGACGTATGTTAATATGTAATTTATGTTAATTCATTGTAATGCAGAAAGAAAATTGTTATTATAAAAATCACAGCTCATGATCACTGCGTATTGTTTAAGTTTTTTTTTTTAAACTCTTATGTTATTTAATATGGCGTCAAATCTGTCATTACTAACGCTTTAATTTATCAAAGTTTTTTATTATATAAGAAATAATTACAATTTAATCGACGTTTTTATAACCGTAAGTGCACTAGTACTCAAAAGCGTGAGTCATGCCAAATGTACGGAATTTATCATTCTGTAATAATTATGATAAAAGTTAAATAACAGTAGCTAAGTAATGATTTCTTATATTTACGCGAACACTTCACATTTAAATAAAACTAGTAATACGGATTTTATACGCATATTTACTTATTTTATATTCACAACTTTTCGAGTAATTTACAGCACCCGTGGTCACGGGAGGGGACTGAGGTGTTTGATGTCCCAATGTCATAGTTAATCACGGCTACCTCCAGATTAAAAATTACTAATTTTTAACTTACAGTATCTTGAAGTCTTGCAGATATATGCTTGGGACCCTATAATTAATAAAATTAAATGCCCACCCAAGTATACCTACAACTGCAAGACTTCAAAATACTGTAATTTCATACTGCGTAGATCGGAATCGGGTGAAATTTTATTAACACTGCGTGAGAGAAGAAGAATCACTTAACGAACAGACACTTAGATTTGACGGGGCACTTTATTGCCCGTTTGGGCATTTAATACCTAGCATAGTATTATTATAAAAATTCCCATCTATCGAACTACGGGCAATTGTTTTTCTTTTTTTTTTGAAATTTTTTGAAATAAGATTATGAATTCTTGTACGCCGCCACTACACAATTTAATCATTATACGTGGTAGAGGCATGCTGCAGCTATATAATAGTTGTAGCACGAATGGATTGACTACAACGGGGAAGAACCACGCTCTCACAGAATAGCAGCGTAAAATGCGTGGCAGAGCAATGCTGCAGCTATATTTCGGGTATAGTTGTAGCACGAATGGGTCGGCTCGACCGGAGAAGGATCACGCTCTCACAGAATACCAGCGTAGAACACAGAATAGCAGCTTAATGCTGCTGTGTTTCGTATGGTGAGTGTAGAGAACCGGAGACCCTATTTACTGGAAAAGAGGCATTCCATCTTAGTCCTCACGGGTGACAACGCATCTGCATTTTGATTCGCAAACGAGGATAGATGTAGATGTCTATGGGTCACAGCAACCACTTACCATCAGGTGGACTGTGTGCTCGTTTGTCACCCTCTCCTATAAAAAATAAATATGTGTGTGTTTTGTATGGTTAATGTAAAAAATGAGATGCTTTTACTGGAAACGAGGCATTCAATCTTAGTCCTCATGGGTGATAACGCGTCTGCATTTTGATTGAATCAAATGCAGACGCGTTATCAATATCTATCTATTATATATAGCGAAATCAATATCTACCTAGATAATGATGGCATCCACTTACCATCAGGTATACTGTGTGCTCGTTTGTCACCCTTTTTCTATAAAACAAAAAAAAATTGGATAATATTATATATTATATAAGATACCTTTGACAAAATCATAATTCTAACACGTATACACGTACACCTGCTCGTAAAGTTGTCATAAAAAATTACATACTTACAGAATATTATTGGTCTATATAACGTTTTATAGGTAGGTTTTAAATTCAACGCGCATGTATGTTCACCGATTTCTCGGAAACGGCCGAAATAATTTTAATGAATATTAATTTGTCAAAATAATTATACTTTAGGGGTTGTCCCATATAAATTAAAAAAAAAATACATTTCACTCTTAGGAGTGGAAAAATAGGGGACGAATTTTTATTTATATAATTGTTTAGACGATACATTCTAGGTGTTACCTTAAATTTGTGATGTTTCTTAGTTCACTCAAAAAAGAAATCTAGAAAAAAGTTAGGGATTGAATTCTTCGATATGCTATGTTAGTTTTTTTAAGCAGTTTTTACTTTTTTCAAGTTAAATTAATTTACTACATACTGCTGTAACTTCTTAGTTTTCAACCTGTGTACTACAAGGATTTTCGAAAGCTGAACTATATATTTAAATTTTTTTTCAAAAAGGCTGGTTGAAAGATTTAAGCCTCTTAAAATATCCTCGGGACGATATGGGATATATATTTTCTTACGTAGCAGCGATATGGCAATTTTTTGTTTAATTCTAATATTTTTTTATGTAAGTATTAAGTGACAAATAAGTACACACAGTCCATCATAGCACTTCCTGTTGATAAGTAAATTCTATGACCTTTATTTACCGTCGGCTAAGAACACTATAATATAGTAGTAAAAAGGGTATCCTTTCTCGCCACTCCCCATACAAAGCACAGCCTTATGCAACTTTTTAATGCGGATTTATTAGAGCTGCAGGCATAATACTTTTAAAAACCATAAAAACCTTAATTTCACAGTCTTGTAAAGCAATAAGTTTTTCCAGTATCGGCCACGCGTTTCCTCACTCATGTTTCTGGAGTAGTATTAGTGAATATCTTCCAGGAAATACTTGCCAGCTGTTTGTACTTTTCGAAAGAACAAGCAAGCGAAAATAGAAAGAAAAAGGCCGTTTCAAGAACCAGATAGCTCATTCATTGAAAGAAAAGGAAGAAGAATATTCCTCGAAATTTTAAGTTTCCACACATTTTGTCGTATCCCAAGAACGGCCTAGATGTAAACTAGTAAACGTAAAAACTGATAACGTGAGGTCATTAATTTCATTTATATTTTCAGGATATACGAAGCCATTCGTCAAATGCGGAAAAAATGGATATGTTATGCCCGCTGCGTTCAGAAAATACGCTGAAACAATTTACAATTTGGAGGTACGCCCTGATGACATTTGGGTGATAACGTTCCCAAGATCAGGTACGTTTTGGAATTTCTAACATGTATTTAACGAGTTTATCAGACCCTCCTCTACTTTCAATGATTGAGGCGTAGGTGGTGGAAACGGGGCTAGTCTGTCGGCCTTATAATCCTGTGCCGGTCAAAAGGCTTTCCCAAAACGTTCCAACTTGTAAACTTGAGGCTTGTCCATATTCAGCAGCTAGACAGGTGTCTTGATTAATTATAGATGACCTTGCCACTAGTAATGTTACTTCGTTACTAACCATTCTTTTATATTATCTTTCTTCTATCAGTTGACCATCAGAGCTTTTTTATATCAACTCTCAACTGCATAAGCAAATTAGCCTTTTTATAATATTTAACGTTGCTTCGCACGCGTGATTTTTGGATCTCAATAATAGTGCCAAATACCAGGCCAGTTGTAAATCTAAACCATCTAGACACCCACTTAAACACACACAAAAAATCATCAAAACTAGCCAGTTAACGACTGAGAAGGAGTTCAGGGACAAATATACGTACAGAGGAATTATAAAAATAAAGATAAAATGAACGTTACGTCGCGTGGCAGTCACGTGTTAATACACTAATAAATGAACTAAATGAATGGGAGTAATTTAGCTCAGCGTTAATACGCTGAGCTAAATCACTCCTCATTCATTTCATAGTTTTTTATTAGCGTTGACGATAGAGGAAAATTAACTTGGCTAACCCTGTTCATGTTACAAAGCACTTGACCTTAAAGAAATCTAACAATTCGCTCATGTCATCTACACTCGGACGTATTTATCTTGATCGAGCGCTGCAAATCAAATTTTCGTCAAAACTTTCGATACACGTTTTCAAAGGCAATTTATAGAATTAAAAAACACACATCTCTCAAATATCGTTAATAGTTCACAACTCTATAAACAGTACAACTGATGAAACATGAACTAAAAAAGCAATTCTTTCTACTTTTCGGTATTTTTTAAGTTCTAGTTGTTTCAATGCAAAAAAACTACGCAAGTAAAATTATTGAAATTCCACCACTTCTTTATTTTGTAGCTACAGATTTAATTGCCTGGTTGGGCTATAAGTCGTAGGTTCTACTGGTCATAAGGTGCCGGTTTCGAATCGCAGGGTCAGATTAAAATTAAATATGAGGTTTTTCTGTTAAGAAATACTCAGCAGCAGCCTGGAGTCAATAAGCTAAATACTTAAATTCAAAAATATTATCAGATTGTTGCTATCTCCGGCTACAGAAAGGAGATTGATATTGAATAGTAAGGGCCTGCACACACTAGGAACAGTCCTTTGCGTACTACATTGTTCCGAAAAATAGATTACTCATAACTGCATCGCATAACGCACAAGGTTTTTAAAGTACTGTAAGTAATATATATATATATATATATATATATTACGTATATATACAACGTGGTAGAGCCATGCTGCAGCTATATTAGTAGTATAGTTTTAGCACGAATGGGTCGGCTCGACCGGGGAAGGACCACGCTCTCACGGAATACCAGCGTAAAATAGCAGCTTTACACTGCTGTTTCATGTGGTGAATGTAGAGAACGGGAGACCCTTTTTATTTGATTCGCAACGAGGATAGATGTAGATGTCTATGGGCAAACAGCATATATATATATATATATATATATAGATAGATAGATAGATAGATAGATACTCTTACATCGTATATCCTAAAATGGTTTAAAATTACTATCAATAATATTTAATTTTAAAGTGTTGGCGGACTTCACATGTCCTTGAAATATCTTATTCCTCACGATGGTTTCTGTCACCGACGATCACTTAAAATTGCAATTATCCATTTTTTTGTGCTTGTGGGGATCGAAACTTCACACAACTCGGTTCTGTGAAATTAGCGACGAGTGTTTAGCCCCTGAGCTACCTAGCTCACGATAATGGCCGACATCGCTCTATGAGTAATGTGATAAATTATTTTGTATTTCTAATGTTTTAAATATATCCGATGTATTAGATATCTACATTATCTCTACTATACGTACACACTCGACTTCTTTATCTACATACGTCAGATAAAAATTAATGCACGCACTTGTCAAAACCTATCTATAAATACGATGTGACACGATAACGCTGTTGATATGCATAAATACATACATTCGAACCAAGGAACAGTCGCAAAACGGTTGCAGACCAAAGTTTTATTATCAATATCTGGGGGCACGGCAGTGCAACCGCCAAGTCGAGCAATAAAACGGCACGGCCGTACCATCCTTTTCTTGAAGCAGTTCAGGTCATTTTCGACCTCCTATAACTTTGTTATGAATAAAACTAGAGGCCTGAATTTTCAGTAAACAAGTTTGCATTGTATGAAAACAGTATATTTCAAAGTTTATTCATTTTGAACCAGTAGTTTAAGAATTATAACTAGTCAAAGTTTCTTTAATTTTGTCACTCACTGACTGACCGATCATCAAAACTCTAAGGTACTTCTAGCAGACGTAGAAGCTTCAAATTTAAAATACAATTAGTGTATAGTGTATAAATTAAGGAAAAACTAGAATATTTTGTAATTTAGGTCCAGTTTTCTAGATACACTAACTGCATAAATAACTTTGCAATCCTATATAAATATATAGGATTACAAAGTTACATTTGCAGTGAATGAATCATAACCTAACCTAACAACATCTAATAGTGACCATATCAATATTAAAAATCTTTAATGTTTTAAATACAAGGATTGACTTGGCAATCACACCATACAATCTAATTTAATATAATATGTATTACTTGTGAGATACATTGTGTTTTCGCTGAGCGACCTTGAGCTATGCCAGCAGTACTAAGGACTACGTCTCAGCTATATATGTGACTAATAGATAAAAATGGCAGATGCAAAAATAGGACAGAAAGTAAAAACTTTTAATTAAAATAAAAACCTTAAAAATAAAAGGAATAAAATAATTACACAATCTGAAGTCGGGGATTTAATTCTTCTCTACAATATTTTTAGCATAAATTTTGTTTTTATTAGAAGTTAATTGTTTTACCCTTTACAGTGGGCTAAGCAATATCACAATCTCAATGTCCAATTAAAAACTTTATCTCCTATTATGCTACCTTAGGGGTGAAATTTGTTCTCCAAATTTATATGGAACCACGCCAGAGTTACAATCTGTTTAATGGAAAAAGAATCATCAAATTCATTCCACATTTGACAAAGCGTAATGTACATAAAAACATACAATCGAATAATTAACCTCCTCCTTTTTAGAAGTTAGATAAAAAGTTTTTTTTTCTGTTAGGTAATATTTTGAACAGCAATACAGTTAAAGAAAATCAAACATATTTGACTCCATTAGAGTCCACTATTGATTAAATTATTATTTTATTAACATTGACGTATTACACTGAATTTCGTAACCACTACATAATCAAAAAAAATACCGTTACCGTTACCGTCACAGCCGTTAGCCATAGCGCGTTAGTTGCTAAGTTTGGCAGACGGGTTGGCAACCGCAGTTTCTTATATTAAGTCGTTATTAGAAAGACGCCGCTGCCCATCTGATATGTATCCCTCTGTCGCCTCTTACGACACCCACGGGATGATATGGGGTAGTGGATATTCTTACATCGCTACTACACGATAAAAATTGATTAGACTATATTATTGTTATTATTGTTTTATACTTTAGTATTAAAGAAGTTGTTATATTATCATTTTCCCGATCTTCCCAGACCGATACGATTTAGGGATCAACAAGGAAAGAGCCTTCTCTTTTTTAAAAGACCAGTAACGCACCCGCGATTCTCCTGGTGTTGCAGTTACCCATGGATGGAGGTAGTCACCTACCATCATTATAGCTGGATACTTTTATTCATAAAATATTTATTTTGAAAACTTGAAACCTTTTAAAATAACAAAATTGTATTGTTATACCACCGCTATTAGACATCCAGAATACTTAAACGAAAGTGCAACTATAAGAAAAAATCAAGCAGTCACAATACCTCTGATATTAATCTTAAAAAAAGTGGTCCATTTTTGAAAAAGTAAACAGAGGAATACGGCATAATGATTTCTTCAATCAAAAGGAAAGGTATAATCAGACCTAGCTGCAGTTGACACTTTCTATTACATATCTTTATTGTTTGGGCACAGCGCGAAAGCAATAGACCGGTAAAAATCTATTCTTCAAATTTCTGAAAACCCGGATGTCCTCCTTAGTATAAAGGCAAAGAGTTTTTATTATATTTGACTTTTATTTTAGCTATGAGTTTCTTCGTTAAATATTATCAATGTTTAATTTTTTTCCCTTGACTGAGTCACCAAAGGAAATATTTCTTTGAAAATCAAATTTACCTTCAATACATAAAAGGTACGTCACTTGCAGGAACGACTTGGACACAGGAAATGGTATGGTTGATAGAAAACGACTTAGATTTCAAAGCCGCCAAAGAAAAGCCGCTGTATGCAAGATTCCCGATGTTGGAGTGAGTAATTTTTTTTTACATATTGTGAATTGAAATTAAAATTTGTACTTTAATCAAAATTAATACAATATTGTTAATAAAGGGTGGGCCATTTAAGATTTGAAATTTGAATCGGCTATATAAAAAAAACAAATGAATATTTTTTCAAAGTTGTGGGCTTATAGAAAGATTAAACCTTTCAATTTAGGACTGGAAGACCACATAGTTCAAATGACTGCCACGACTAGCTTTACATAACCTCATTCGATCAGTCATATTTTTTGGTATATTTTCTATTGTTTGGGCCTCTATTTCGTCAACGACAACTTCGATTTCATGTTTCAAGACGTCAATCGTCTCTGGATGGTTAGCGTAAAACTTTTTCTTAACGGTTTCTCACAAGAAAAAATACAACGGAGTCAAATCACAACTTCGAGGTGGCCAATTGATTTCGACTGATTATGCGATTTTCGAAAACAGTGCGCAAAAGATCGATTGTTACGTTGGCTATATAGCATGTTGCACCGTCCTGTTGAAACAATATGTCGTCTATGTCATCTTCTTCAATTTTGGGAAACAAAAAATCGCTTAGCATGGTTCGGTAGCTAATGCCTTTCACTGTTCTTTTTCATTTTCTAAGGAAAATGGCCCAATAATGCGGCCAGACCAAATTCCGCACCAGAAAGTCACTCATTATGGATGCATTGGTTTCTTCACGATGACGTGTGGATATTCTGAGCCCCACATACGACAACTTTGCTTATTGAAGTGTCCTCTGAGGTAGAAACCAGCTTCATTTGAAAATATGGAACTTTCGGTAAAATGTTCATCTTCGATAAAGTGTTTTTTTACGTTGTAGAGCCATGCTATATTACTGGTGTAGTTGAAGCACGAATGGGTTGGCTCGGCCGGGGAAGAACCACGCTCTCACAGAATACCAGCGTAAAATAGCAGCTTAATGCTGCTGTGTTTCGTATGGTGAGTATAGAGAATCGGAGAGCCTTTTTACTAGAAACGATGCATTCAATCTTAGTCCTCACGGGTGACAACGCATCTGCATTTTGATTCGTAATCGAGGATATATGTAGATGTCTATGGGCAACACAGCAACTACTTACCACCAGGTGGACTTTGTGCTCGTTTTTCACCCATATCCTATAAAAAAAATGGCCATCGGCCCATTGAGTAAACCGAATACGCATACAATGGATATGCGGTTTTAGTTCTTGCTCTAATTGAACTTTGTGCGCATTCATACCGAGATCTTTATGCGAAATTCTTCTCAAAGAAGTGCGTTAAATGTTCACTTCTTTGGAACGATGACGAGTTGATGTCGATGGTTGTTCACGCACACTCTGAGCAACAGCAGTGATGTTTTACTGCAGCGTCAGTACGCACACGTGTTGTTTTATCCGAAAACGATCCAGTTTTATGAACACGATTGACAAATTGATCCACAAACTACGTTTTTGTCGTAAATTTCTTACAGTTTGAGTAGAAGACTCACCACTTTGGAAATTAGATTTTAATATTTCCCAACTTTGTTTAAGCAATAAGCGACCTATTTCATAAATGTCAAACATTAATCTAAGTTTCTGTCACATCGGATATGTCATCAAACCGTCCAACCTCAAAATAACCTATAGTTCCAACTCCAAACATTAGATGGCACACCCTTTACAATAGTAGTGGCGGTGTAAGAATATTCACTAATCCATAACATCCCGTGGGTGCCGTTAGAGTCGACAGAAGAAATCAAATTAAGAGATGAGCAACAGCATCTTCCTAATAATGATTAAAATAAAAAATAGCTGCAGCTGCCAACCCGCTTGCACAGCGTGGCAACTATGGCAACTAGCTCATATAATAAGTCTGTAACGGTAACGGTAATACAGTTTTGTACCGAAGATGAGGTATTGTTTGTATTTTTGTATAAACTAAAGTGAAAAACGAATTTACAGATAGGTAGACTGTAAATACGATTTTCACTCTAAGGTAAGTGATTAAAAATTTAGTGAAAAGAAAGTGAATGAAAATTTTATCTGCCTGTCTGTCTGTTTGTCCAGGCTAATCTTCGGAACAGCTGGACCGATTGTAATGAAACTTTACGATCAGATAGAAAGCAATTCCATGAGTAATCTTGACTATATTTCAGATAAAATATAGATTACTCCAAAATGGTCTTTGATTTTCTTAAATTTAAATAACATCACATTATAAAATCCCACCCAGGCGAAGCCAGGGCGCAATGCTAGTCTTTGATAATTCGCTATGAATTACTTTTCATAGCGAATTATCAAAATAATATTCAAAAAATTTAGTTTGCGTTTAAAATCATGAACTTAAGTACCTATAAAAAAGTTTTAATACTTCTGACTCACTAATATATTTTAAATTTTTATCTTTCAGGACTACAGTGCAAATACCTAGAGTGGCTTTCGAATTAATAAAAGCGAATTTTATGAATTTAGCTTACTTCCAAGGCTTGAGTAATGCAGTAAGGAATCCTAGTTGGAAGACTATAGCAGAAACACCATCACCACGATTTATCAAGACACACTTGCCGCTTTCTCTTCTACCACCAAAACTACTGAGCACAGCTAAAGTAATATATGTGGCGAGAGACCCTAGAGATGTGGCCGTGTCCTATTATTATCTACATAAGATGATCCTAAAATCCTTAATGAGGGCAAATTTTTGTCACTTTTGGGAAGCATTTAGAAGAGACCTATGTAATTTCCATTTTATATTTCCCTAAATGTCATCTAAACTTATTTGAAATGGGCTGCAACCAAATATGCATATTGGTCATATCATACGGTTAACATTAGTTGCAACTAATGCTTATGCGTATGATAAAGCCCAAAGTCATTCAGCGAGCGATGGAAAGGGCTATACTCGTAGTTTCTCTGCTTGATAAAATCCGTAAATAGGATATCCCCAGAAGAACGAGAGCTGTCATAGCCTGGCTCGATGGTCTGAACCAACGTCAAAGAAAACTTTTCGAATGGCAGTCTAGTATAGGCTAGCGCAGTGATGAGCAAGCTCCCACCTAGATGTATTGACGATCTGATATAACTTGCAGGGGATCGATGTAGGCGTTTTGTGGCAATATATGGGGAGGCTTATGTTCAAAACTAAACTTAATATAAGCTGCAATGAATGAATGAATTAATGAATATAATAATATATGTTTATTGTACGTTATGTGTTATGTGTATTATACATGTGTGTATCTGTACATTTGAATGTTTCTCTGTTCTTATTGTGTGATCGTAATAATTTTTTCCAACACCTATAGAGATAAGTTGTTGATAAAGTATTAGACCTTTTTTTCTGCTTAAAAGTCTTTCTGTGTATTCGTTATTATCATCTACCTCTGCTACTATTGTGCATTATTGTACTAAGTTTGAGTTATTTTATGTAAGTTCTCTTGGGTAATAACAATATCTTCTAATCTACGGCCTCTTTAGATTTTTTATGACTTAAAATATTTTTATTCCAAACTATCACTTAGTACGAGTATCCAATCTCCAACTCTATTTCAGTCTTACAAACTATTATATTAATTTAAAAATTGTTATTAGAGAACATGGAATTTAGAGATATTTAATAGTTTTATTTAAAATTATATAAGTAAATGAAATATTAATTTCCAACAATTTTTTTCAGTACCATGGACACCAATTGTAGCACATACGAATGAAGCTTGGGAAAATAGGCATAACCCGAATCTCCATTTTATGTTTTATGAAGATATGATTAAGGTACATACTTAAAACATTTCCAAACTTACAAATTAATATATTATTATAAGTATTAATTACAGCCTACATATTTCGTCCTCTCCTTTCTGAGGAGGTTAGGCCAAGGAAATGCCAGCCGCGCTACCCCAATGCGTATTGGCAAGCTTCATGTCTTCGAAATAATTTGTTTTACTAGCTGTTCCCCGCGACTTTATTACGATTGGATTTCATGACTTAATTTTTTTGCGCGGAGCCCTAATTCTTTTTTCAAAACAAAAATAGCCTAAGTTACTTCATATAACATCAGCTATCTGCAAGTTAAAGTCCTGTCATAATCGGTCCAGCCATTCCCGATGAACAAATAGAGAGATAGACAGACAGGCAGACAAAAAATTTACAAATTGTGTTTTTGTTATAAGTACTGTATACAATTTCATATGCGTTTAGTAAATAGCTGTTATTTTGACATTACAAACAGACACTTCAATTTTATTTCTATGTATAGATTTCTCAGACATGCAGGTTTCTTCACGATGTTTTCCTTCACCGCCGAGCACGTGGTAAATTAGCACTTAAAATTGCAATTCACAATTTCATTGGTGCCGGCGGGGATCAAACCCGGGTTGCACGCTTACTGTGAAATTTACAGCGTGGGCTTAGTGCAAGAGATACCACGACTCTATGTATTATAAGAAGAATAATTATATATTCACGTTTTAAAACTTTTTAATTATGTTAAGTAATTTAAAGACCTTTTTTCCTTTACCAGCCTGTAATATTCCACTGCTGGACCATAATATGTCCTTACCAAGGATTTGCCATAATTGCCACACTTGGCAGGCAGTTACGTAGAATACTGCCATCTATCGGAAGCTATCAGAGTTTTATGCCTTTCCTATGTTCATCACTTATGAAATGTAGGTCCCAAGTAATAACAAAATATTTAGTTTCAATTAAGAAAAAAAAACAATATTTTAAGCCTCGAACTACTGCAAGGCACAGGCCGTTTTCAATCTCAGTTCTAAAAGAAGATAATCTGGATTTGTTAAAAGAAGTTATGTGGGCGTTTGGTAATTGTCTATTACAGTTACAGCCTACTAAAGTCTACTGCTGAACATATGCCTACTCTCTATAGATTACCTCATTTGGCCAAGCTTAGCAAGCGGGTTGTAGTTTTGTTTTTTTCTGCCAACTTCCAAAAAAGAGACGGTACTCAATTCGACTGTATGCTTTTTTTATGTGTGTTACCTAATAACTTTTTACTGGGCAAACCGATTTCGATGATTCTTTTTTTATATGAAAGCTGATACTTCTCGTGTGGTCCCATATGAATTTGATGAAGGTCAGACCAATAGTTTTTTAGTTATTCTTAATAACTTACATTGAAGTCGGCTGGACAACATTTTTAATTTTAAATTATAAATTATTATTTTTAGTCGTAATAAGGAAGACTGCTTATCTCCTGATTCAAATTATAATTAAGTAGATTTTAATAATAACAAATTATATTTTATTCAAATTTTTCTTTCTATTCGTTACCAGGACCTTCCAAAAGAAATTCGTGCGGTATGCAAGTTCCTGGATAGAAAGTACTCCGCTGATAAAATTGAACAGCTAGCTGACTACCTGAGTTTCAACAGTCTTCGAAAGAATAAAAATGTAAATAACACCACCGGTAAAAATGGCGATGTACAGTTTCTTAGAAAAGGTATGTTATGAATGATATTTTCTTATCAAAGAAAATATATTTTTTTGATTATTAAATTTATCTTTTTTTAACCCCCGATGCAAAAAAGGGTGTTATAAGTTTGACCGCTATGTGTGTCCGTCTGTCTGTCTAAGGCACCATAGCTCTTAAACGGGTGAACGGATTTGGGTGCGGTTTTTAAAAATAAAAGCAGGTTTTGTATCGGTGGTTCTTAGACATGCTTTATCAAAATCGGTTAAGCCGTTCCAAGGTCATCAGCTGTTTTGTTAGCTAGGGTTCTTTCGCGGGGTTTCTAAAATTTTCAATTTAAATCTTAAACTGAAAAGAAACGAACTAAAAGTCTACCGGACGGTAAATGGCTACTGCAGTCCATGGACTCCCGAAGCCAACTTCAAAGACACAAGACTATATACTATGAAGCCTTAGTTGAAGATGGCCGGTTTCTTATTCGAGGATAGATGTAGATGTCTATGTTTCACAACATCCACTTACCGTCAGGTGGGCTGTGTGCTTATTTATCACATTTATTCTTTTAAAAAAGTAAAAGTAAAGTCCACAATTCCTTTCATTTTTGGAATAAAATTTTCCCTGCATGTACTTTCTATAACTTTACTTTTTAAATTATGAAGAAAATGTAAATTTACCACAATTTTTTGTTACAGGCGAGGCAGGTGGTTGGAAAACACATTTTGATGACAAAATGAAACTGCAGGCCGAAGAATTTCTGTCTATACGTCTTCGAGGCCTCGATCTCTCTTATCCTTCATTTCCTCTCTATGAAACTGAGTGTTCGCACTTATAACATAGTAATGTAATAAGAACATAAGAATTTATATAAAAGACTGATTCTATAGAGTAAAGTGAATTTATAGTTATGTATTTAGAAGTAATAGTAAATACTATATTTAGTGTAACATACTACTGTATTTAGTGTAACATAAATGCGTATATGATATTTATTGTTGAATGTAAACTAAAATACTATCAATTTATAATTTTGTGATTTCTGTCATTTTGTGAAACCCCATTTTAACATGTACTTGTTTCACTGTCAGTTTTATTTATCTACAACGCTATACATGAATTATTCGTAAAAATGATATACGCTTATAATATCGTAGGGCAAAAAAGGATCGGGTTTTAATAAATAGATAAAAATGTCAGTAAAATAGATTGCCTCATATAGGGAATATTCTGCATAGCTGCTATGCTTGACAGTCAGGTTGGTAACCGCAGGTTTGTTTTATTATTATTGCTTTCTTATCAGGAGATGCTTACGTCCATCTCCGGTTTCAATTTTCTTGTGTCACCTACCTGTGGGTGTCGACCTTTTCTAGTGTTGACACCCACAGGATGGTTGGGGAAAAATATTAGGAAGGCCTTTTCAGCAGTTGAGATTAACAGGCTGTAATTAATTAATGTATAGTGAACTAAGCGCACGTGTTAATCCTATATTTAATATTATTTATTTTTTACTAGAAGTAATGTAATATCTTCTTAATAAATAAAAATTAATCTTTGTTTGTCCGTATTTTATGCGCTGCCAAAAACTCTGTCAACTTATTGCTGGCACTTGCACGAAGGGCATACTCGTAGGCATAGTACAATAAGTCACAGTAGGTGGTGCGCGTATTGTAACGACAAATTAATTAAAAGGTTTATATGATTCAACTTCAATTATTGTATTATCAACCCTTATCACTTTTAAATTTAAAACGATATTTCCACAATTAATTTTTTTTAAATAATTTGATATTATTTTCTCCCACATATTATCAGTATATCACAATAAACTAAGTAACAATGAACTTATAAAACTAAATAACAGCTATAAATACTAACTAAATAAGATCTAGGTGGGAGACTGGTGCCCAAACTAGGTGCCCTGTGCTATAGGATCCCTCTACAAAAGTGATAATGCTGTAAAACATTTTTTTTTATAGGAGAGGGGGCAAACGAGCATGCGGCTCACCTGATGGTAAGTGACTACCGCCGCCCATGAACAACTGCAACACCAGGGAGGGAATTGCAGATGCGATGCCGGCCTTTTAAAAAGGAGTACGCTCTTTTCTAGAAGGTCAAAAATCGCACAGTGGTGGACCGCCAATCATCCAGATGGTGTGGATGGTATCGGGAGTTCTGCCGTGATATGCGTTCGTGAAATTTGGCGACTGGGATTAATAAAAAGTACTCCTACTTGTAATAAAAGTACATTAAAATAGACTTGTTTGGTTACATTAAATGGGGGGTTAACGAAATTGTATTCGTAATAAATAAATAAAAATGTCATTAATATATTACTTATACAACGATTCCCAGAATTGACACTAACAACGCTTTCAATGTCTTGAAATTTGTGAAATCACAAATGAAATAATGTAATATAAATGTAAAAATAATTAAACTTTTATTAACTACTATTGCTTTAATAACAGCTGTATGTGTTTACTTGGTGGCAGGAAATCCTTTTTTCCTATTATTTCGTCTGTGTAGATATCACCCTCTTATTCTGAAATAGATTGAAGAGCCTTTATAATTGCAGACTGTAGAGCATTTCATCTTAATCAGCAGGGGTTTTCTCAAGATATATGTTACATTCTTTGTTTGTAGTCGGTTGTAGATGTTTATGGACTACAGAAGCCACTAGAGGTGGACTGCAAGTTCGTTTGTCACTTCTTTTTTTTAAATACTAGCAATGCTAGTTACATTTCTAATATTCCCTGAAACACACACCTGGTAAGCTTAAAATGCTTGGTTTATGTGACCATGACCTCTAGAGCTCGCGGTCTGTGCCCTGTCATTAGGCTACCGTCGCACTACACTTTTATAATCGGTAAATATAAAAAGAGAGAAAAAAAATCGCATGCCACGTCGAAACTTGTTGACAAACCAAGACCAATACGGTGCTGTTTTGCCAATAAGGAAACGGCCTTACTACTTTTGCACTTTCCGTAAACATTGCCATTAGTGTGCTCGAAGAAGCATAAATGAGATACTTAATACTTAACTTTTCCTTGAATCATGTTAGCTGTAATTATAATTTAAACAGTGATAATAATGTAACAAAAACCTAAATAACCACTAAAACTAATAACATTAAATATAAGTGTAATTCACAAATTGTTCCTAACTAGTGTTAATAGAAATATGTTTATGAATCAGTTGTGTTGCGTAAGTCATTTAATATAAGAAAATATAGCAAACAAATTCATATTTCTTAATATAAAAATGTCAGTATTTTAATAGTTTAAGAATTTTGTTATTTAAATTGCTTCCAAGTTGTTTCTAATGTAATAAAAATATGTACATATATATTGTAATGATAACAAACTAGATGTAGTGACAACGTAGGAGAACTATCTTCTTATCTCGTCCTAAAGATGTTTTCAAACTATAGATACGTCATACTCGCTTTAAAATGGCAATACGAAAGTCGTGCACGCTCTCGCGTCGCGGCTATACCTTTACTACTGCGCGTAAATCTTCTAGTTATTAGTGGTAAAAATGCCTTTCTGTGTTTTTAGGTGGTGCACAAATTACACGGCAACTGTTAGAGACAAGAAAAACGTCTCATTAATATTTTGAATATAGATGTTTTGTTCATAATTGGTTTTATTTTTTCAACACTAACCGCTAGTGTAAATTTTGACGCTAGCTAATGTGCTCATTACCACATCGGAATGTCACGCGCTTGCAACAATGAGCGCTCAGCAGCAATCAATACGCAACTAATGATGTATATTCATCTTTTTCTAACGATAAGTTTGCCGTATCATTTGTCTCTTTTTGTTAGCGCTACCTGTCATAATATATAACTGTACGTAGATATACTTGCGCCACTTTATCTTTTTTAATACATCTTTGATCTCGTCCCGACGATTTCATAAGTGGAAACTCTAATGAGGAGTTATCTGATGGATTATATCGGTTCCAATAAGTGACTTTGCACCCATTTCGTGTTTACACCCGATGTAGAAAAGACTAAACCGATGACGGCAAATAATATCCTTCAGACTAAATTTCGGTTCGGATACATATAGAGCAAGCTGTGTAAACTTTGTCCAACGGAAGATAACCTCTAGCCTAATAAAACGTCAAAAAGGTTTTTTTTTATAGGATACGGGTGACAAACGAGCACACAGTCCACCTGAAGGTAAGCGGTTGCTGCGGCCCATAGACATCTACATCTATCCTCGATTACGAATCAAAATACAGATGTCATTGTCACCCGTGAGGACTAAGGTGGAATGCCTCGCTTCCAGTAAAAGGGTTTCCTGTTTTCTACACTCACCATACGAAACACAGCAGCGTTAAGTTGCTATTTTACGCTTGTATTCTGTGTGAGCGTGCTCCTTCCCCGGTCGAGCCTATCCATTCGTGCTACAACTATACTACTAATATACTACGTATGAAAAGCTCTACCACGTATGAAAAGTTTCAAAATAACTAATTATTCCTTGAATAAATCTACTTTTACGGATTTTATCGCATTTAATTGTACTTATTTTTTATTCCTGATGTTGATAAGGGACTGAAGTGGTTGACGTCCTGATGTTAGAGTTCACCGGAGTACCTTCAGCTTTTTAATTATTAATTTTGGTCTGATCTACGCAGAATGAACTTTGAAGTCTTTCAGTGGTATGCTTTGGTTTAGTTTTATTTTTATCACAAGGTATTAACCTAGCCTCGCTCTATATTGAAATTATAATGTTTTTTTTTTAATTTCAATAGCCTCAAGTATCATCCTTGGCAGGAATCGATGTACTTTTGTGAGTATTTGTGGTCTATAAATCTGATGTTATGACGGGAACTGTCTAGAATGTGATCACAAACTGCACACTTCAGACTGGAAAACGCGCAAAACGTAGAGAATTAAAAATAAGTATAGTTAAACGCGATAAAATCCGTAATAATAGTTGTATTCAATAGATATGTGTTGTTTCTTATATTTACGGGAACTTTTTCCGTAAATATAACAAATCATTATATAACTAATTATTTATAAAAGTTCTGCGAGTTCTAATTTGACATTCTACTATAGTTGAATCTAAAAAACTATAAAAATTAATAGGAATGACACACTTTAACGTTAAGTCACGTGAAATTGATGCATTTTTATTGTATCAGCTTTAACAATTATATAATGCCAATTTGGCCCGCCAATCCTACATTGTTCTCTTACAACAATTAATTATTAATACGGTTATATTAGCCAGAATATTAAGTGTTAAAACCATAGAAATGTAAATAAATACTCAATAGAAATATTACGACACTAATTTCCACCGCGACATCTGTCGCCACCTTGGCCGAACAATGAAACATTTGCAAGCGCGACGAAATTCTAAATTCACCTCATGTTGCTGCATGCGAATAACGTTTCATATTTTGTATATTATTACACATACATATATAGGAATGACAGTTGTTAAATCACGCCATAACAAAAAAATATGATTAACTTTCGATACTTCGACCAAATACTAAATGAAAACAATAATGAGCGATTATGTTTCTTAAGCCACCTGTTGTGGCGAAAACGTCCTACCATGCCACCGTACGATTTCTATTACATTTTTGTTTAGATTTCTAAACTTAAACATTACGTAGAAAGTGTTCAAATTTATGATTTAAGTAACTAATTTAAAAGTTAACAAATTTTACGAATTTAATCGCGTTTAATTTTAACTTTTTGTATTTAAATGTTGAAAGAAGCCTTCGTTAACTATCTGATACCTCAGTTGCCACGCGACTCATGAGTGCTGTAAAGTGCCCGAAATATCGGGAATAAAAAAGGTAATA